CAATTATTTCCTTCCAGTCTGTAGCTTATCTTTTCATCCTGTTAACAGGGTCTTTTGTAGAGGAAAATGTTTTTTTAAAAAATTTTTACTTTTAAACTTTAATTTTTTGGATAACAGCTTTATTGAGATATAATTCACATACCATAAATTCACCCATTTAAAGTGTACAATTCAATGCTTTTAATTTATTCACAGAGTTAGTTGTTTAATCATCACTACAATCAATTTTAAAATGGTGTGGACATGTATTTTCATTTCTCTAATTATAGTTTTTGAAAACATTTTCTCCCTGCATAGTCTCAATTTCCTCCAAATTGCTGTTTTTGTTTTGTTGGAAATGTTTGTGTTAGCTCAGGCTGCCATCACAAAATTCCAGACTGGGTGGCTTAAACAGAAATTTATTTCTCATAGTTCTGGAGGCTGGAAGTCCAAGATCAGGGTGCCAGCCAATTTAGTTTCTAGTGAGGACTATCTTCCTGGCTTGCAGATGGCTACCTTCTCTCACTGTGTCCTCATGGTGGAGGGGAGGGGAGACGGAGTTCTCTGGAGTCCCTTCTTGTAAGGACACTAATCCTATTGGATAAGGTTGCCCCTTATGACCTTATTTTACCTTAATTACCTTCCAAAGGCTCTATCTCCAAATGCAGTCACATTGGGGGTTAGGGCTTCAATATGCAAATTTTGGGGGGACACAATTTAGTCTATAGCAGTGTTCTTAGACTTATTTTAATCCATAACTTATTAATTTATGTTTTCAAGTGGGAGACTTTAAAAGGGGATTGAGATCTCTATATTTGGGAGAGGCTTGCTGATAGCAAACTTTATTATAGAATGACCTCACTAGGCCATACTTTCAGGACTCCTCCTCCCAAATCTGTACATTCCACTCTTTCCTCTCAGGCTGGCCATTTTCCCCAGAGAACTCCTTCAGTCTCCTGAGGGTAAAAGCCTAGTTGAATTCCTGGAGGGATTAGGGTTGGAAGCTAAATCTCAAGATTAGGATGTGTTATTCACTTATTACCCCTATTTTCAGTAATGATATCTCTGCCTTCTCCTGTGTGGAGACCTCCCACTCTAGAAACCCTCTCCAGGGAACAAATCTATAGATACCTGCCAGGATGGAGGGAGGGTAATCGTCCAGTGGCACTGAGGGGAGAGGGATTTGGAGATCCAACTGCTTCTCAAACAGCCTTCAACCAGCCCTTGTTTCAGCTACTGCTTTTACTCCTCACTTCTGGAGCTGCCTAAGGCTGTCATTTCCTCAGCCTTTTAAGAATTGTTCTTGGCTTTCCCTGCTGCCCCGTAGTCTTTGGCTATCTTGAGTCCATCAAAGCATTTTCACTTGTTGATCAGCTTTCTATATTTCAGAAATCTAGTGCTCTATTGCTGTCCCTTCTCTCACTCTCTTTGTTTTTTGGGCTTTATGTCCTTAAAACAATATCCTTTTAATGAGGTTTTATTGAAGTTTTAAGAGGGAATAAAATTAGATGCAGTCATTCAATCTGCTATCTTCACCCAGTAAGTAGATCAATCTGTAATTATTTTATTTACTTGTTTATTTCTTGGCATACTTATGAGAACATAAGATAGGGACTTCGTCTGCATTGTCCCATTGGTTGGCACATACAACAGTTGCTTCATACATATTTGTGGAATGAGTAAATGAATATATGCCTGAAGCTCAGAAGAGATAAAGTTCACTATTTGGGCTATGCACAGTGGTGGGCGTCTGTGGTCCCCGCTACTTGGGAGATTGAGGCAGAAGGCTCACTTGAGCCCAGGAGATCTGTGCTGTAGTGTGCTGTGTCCATCAGGTGTCCTCACTTAGTTCGGCAATGGGGGGACCACCACGTTGCCTAAGGAGGGGTGAACTGGCCCAGGTTGGAAATGGAGCAGGTCAAAACTCCTGTGTTGATCAGTAGTGGGATCATGCCTGTGAATGGCCACTGCACTCCAGCCTGGGCAACAAGCGAGACCCTGTCTCTAAAAAATAAATAAATAAATAAAGTTCCCTATTTGCGATTAGAAGCATGTAGATGGAATTAGGCCTAAGTGTTTGGCCCATAGAAAACCTATAGATTGAGAAGTTGGAATCCTGAGGAACACAATAGTTAAGTAGCTGACAGAGGAACAATCAATGTGTGATTGGTGAATCAGGGGAGAGAGACATCACTGAAGCTGAGGGAGTGGAAACTGAGGAAAGTAGGGATGTCTAACAGTGTGACATGGAGTAGAAAAGTGAAGTAAGTTAAGGACTGTAAAGTTATCCATTATATTTGGCAACTAGGGGATCTCTGATGTTGACTGACTGCCACAGGAACCTCTATGGCTATGGTGGGGACAATAGCCATACTGCAATAGATTGAAGAGTAAGGTATAGATACTCAGTGTAGATTTTTTTTTTTTCAAGGAGGTTAGCTATAAGATAAGAAGGGTGGGCTGAAGTTCCAATTATATATTGTTTTATAATGAATCACCCCATATTTAGTGGGATGATTCTCCTGATAAACTTCATTATTATGTCCACCTATCTTATATCTTTATTTTAAATATATATCCAAAGCCGACCTTTCCACCTCACTGGTCCCATCCTCTCCCGCTCTCTCACACCTGCAACCTCTCTTATCTTGCCTGTTGGCCTATACACATCCAAATCTCTTCTTTTTCTTTTTTGCAAAACAAAACAAAACAACAACAAAGATTATCCCTTAGCATCTCTCTTTAGGGGAAAAAAGACCATCTGGCTACCATCCTTTCCTTTGCTTCCTCCCTCTCATGCAGTTGACCTGCTGTTTCTGCTTCTGCCCCATCAGTTGACTATAACTGCTTTAACCAGAGCCATCAGCAGTGTCCTGGTTTGCTAAATCCACATTTGCTTTTCTCTTGGTCTCTTACTTGACCTGCATTCTTGCTTGCTTGTTCACACTTGACCTCTTGTTCTCTGTCTCAACAGTATTGTTCCCTCTTGACCACTCCCTTCTTCCTGAAACTCTTCAATTTTCATGAGCTGCTTTTGTAGGGCCTCTTATCCAAAGTGCCTCTCCTCCACCTGACCTTAAATGTTGGAGTTTTTCTTCTCAGTGTACACTCTCCCCCAGGATGATTTCATCCATTCCATGGCTTCCTTTACTGACTATATGCTGACAATTCCCACATCTTGTTTTTTCTAGCCCAGATCTCTCTCCTCATTTCCAGACCCAAATAGCCAGCTAGGCACTTCCATTTTAGATAACCCACAGGTATTTCATACTCAACATGCCCCAAACTGAACATAACATGTTTTTCAATATATGCTTCCTCCTTAACTTCTTGTTTTGGGGAATGGTATCACTGTCCTCTTGTTACACGAGTCAATTTTAAATCATTGCTTCTACATTTTAAAGATTTTTCAAAACTGTCTCTTCTTCATCTCTATTGTGACTTCCCTAGGACTACAGATCCTCATAGCACAACCACCTCTTAACTTATTTTCATGCCTCCCTGTTGGACTCACATTCTCCGTATTGCTGCCAGAGTGATCTTTCTAAAACAGAAATATAATCTCATCACTCCTCCTTAAACCTTCTTCAGTGACTCCCCTCCATCTTCACCAGGGTTTCTCAGCCTCAGCACTGTTGACATTTGGGCTGGCTAATTCTTGGTTGTGGGGCTGCCCTGTCATTGTAGGATGTTTAACAGCATCCCTGCCATCTACCCAGTAGATGCCAGTAGTGCCCCCGCCAACCTAATTATGACAACCAAAAATGTCTCTAGACATTCACAAATGTCCCTGGGGCTAGAGGGAGCAAAATTGTACCTGTTTGAGAACCACTGATCTACAGGATAAAATCAGGTTTCTCAGCATGTATACAAGGCCCTTAGTGATCTGCCCCTGCCTGCCTCTCCAGCGTCATTTGTCCCCGTATTTCCCCCTATGCTCCAGGCCTGCCAATTACTGTTAGATTTCTTAAATCTGTTCATACTCTCTCTCATCTCCCTTCTTTGCCCATGCTTTTCTGTCTACCAGGAACCCTGTAGCTCCCACCCACCACTCCTTTAGCTTGACTAACCTCCTCAGCCCTCAGAGTTCAGCTCAGAAGTCACCCTTCAGGAAACAGTTCTCAACTCTTTTAGTCTGGATTAGGTGCCAATCTTAGGTGTTCTCGTCGCATCCCCTCTTTCCTCTCCTTGTTCCTCATGCAGTCTGGCATCTGTTTATTCACTTGTCTGTCTTCCCAGCAGTCAGTGAGAGCTGGATGGCAAGGACTGTGTCCTCAGCACAGGGCCTTGCTTCTAGCAGGCACTCAGTAAGTGTCAACTGAATGAATGGTTGGTGCTCAGTAAGTCTTTGTTGGATGAATGGTCTTCCTTGAAACAGCTTCTTTTTTCAGCTTCTTCGCTTTCCACCATTCCATCCTGTTTATGTAACTGAAAGAAAGCCAGTTGGTCAGTAGGTCAAGAAGCCGTCACCCCCAAAGCAAGAATTTTAAAGAAAAAAGTATGACAGTTCCATAAAATCTGTGATGCTCTGCTTGCAGTAGAGCACAAATAGTTTTACGTTGTAGCTGGTACTAGAAAGTCAGGAACAAGAAATTTTACTGAAATGGGAACATGGAAAAAAAACATTACATTTTTCTCCTGCAGCATATGGATTTCTCATTAGTCTGGGTAAGGGAAAACCGGGGGCGGGAAGGGCGCAGCGACTGCAGCTGTCCACACTCTCCCCTCATCATTCTGCTGCCACCACACCTGGTCCCCAGAGACACCCTCACTTCTTCGCTATTTTGGCTTAGGTATGGACAAATCCCCTTGGTTCAGCAGAGACTAGCCTGGAATTTTTCAAAAGAAGCTTTGCTAGGAAACTAGCAGGAAAAACAAAACAAAAGTAAAAACAGGAAATAGAGTATAGAAATGATAAAAATACAGAGTGCAAAAAAAAAAAATCCCTTAGCCTAAGATAACTAAAGTCTAGTGTTAGAATGCTAATTACTTGACTCAATTTACCAGGCACAGGTTTTCCCTGTTTTTTTGTTTCATTTTGCCATGATATTGTCTCCCTCTGGGGAACTCGTCCTGAAGTCTCCCTTTTCAGTCTTTGTATATTTTCCTTCTCTTGCTTAAGAATCTTCTCCATCTTCGTCTAGGGAAGGAATTGGAATTGGTGTTGCAGTCACTGTTTCTTATAGACAATGGGTTACTGCTCATGTGGAGAAATGAGCTTTCCAGCCTTTCTCTACAGATAAAATAGCTTAGTGCTTGCAAACACAATCTGAGGACCAATGCCATGTGTTCATTGTAAAGATTTCATTTGCTTGGGATGAAGTGAAAAACATAGACAATGTCATGAGTTTTTTTGATAACACTGAAGGACTAATGTTTTTACTCTGGGATCTTTTTTTCTTTCTTTCCCTTTATATATTAAAATAGTCAATGGTAGTTGTGAAATTTTACTTTTTTTTGTTTTTAGTTTTTATGTCCTTGGCAAAATTAAAAATTGATATCTCTCTGTAGGTGTGTGCACCCAGTTTTTATAAATTCTTTCTGGTCTCTGAAATCCAAAACTGGCCAACAGATATTTTGTATGACATTGAAGTATGCTGTATTGTTTTTATGCTTTATGCATCATTTGAACAGGTATTTTTATATGTAAACGATTTATTTTGCAATCCTCCCAACAGAACATGCTGTAGTTAACTGTTTTCAAAGGCAAATGATGCAGTTTTTGTAAGTTTGATGTTCTCTTCTAAGGAGCTGGATAGTTACTATAACACAATCCTCATTCTAGATATTTATTGACTGAATATCAATCAATATACCTACCATATACCAGGTCCTGGGCTAATACAAATATGAGTAAGTCATTGTCTCTGCCTTCAAGGAAATCCTAGACTAGGGAAGAAGATCAGGTGTAAACAAGGATACAGGGTATGGCTACTTTGGGAGCTAAGCAGAAGAAAGTGCCTAGTTCTATCCTGGACAGCTTTGCAGAGGAAATAAATTTTGCCCAAGGACAAGTTGAAGAAAGGCATTCTAGGCAGACGTCTGCTAGGCCTGGTGTCCTGCATAAGTGTGGCACATTAGGGAGAAGTTCCTGGCAACTTGCGCATGAGAACATGTGAGAGGGTGGAGAAGATGCAGCTAGAAAGTTATTAATATTACCCAGTTTTAATTTCATATTCCACAGCTACCTATTACTGAACATAGAATTTTCATACCTACAGGCCAGAAAAAGGCCTGAGCAAGAAAACAATATTTTGTAATGTCTTTGTTCACTAGCTTTGCCTCACTTAATAGCTTTCACAATCGCCACTGGAATTTAATGTGGGTTAATGTCTTGCACTTGGATCCAAAGAGTTAACTTCCAGGGTACAGCACAAGGGAGACTTGACATAGACATTTTTGCTGACCATAAACTTACCTTGAGCATGACATGAGCCTCAGCTGCCACGAGAGCAGGTACCACTGTACTGCCATCTGTGGAGCCACAGACTCCAGGGAGATAGCTGGAGCCTCCCCACCCGGGTCCTGACCTGACTGCATCAGGGCCACTGGTCAGGTCCGGATCCTGCCTTTTTAGGGGAGATGTAGATAAAAATCTAGAGGGAGGATGTCCAGGGAGATGGCCTAGAAACCATCATACAGAGAGCGAAATTAAAAGAAGAGGGACAGGATAGCTTTAGTTATTTTAACAGATTTCTTGAGGCCAAGGTGGATGACATATGGGCTACAATTGTGGACTGAGTGGAAATTGAAGGGATTCTGATTTTGGCTAATGTAAGAAATAATTTTGTAAGAGTTTTTTTTTTTCTTATCACATAGCACTTCGAGATTATTTTGTTGAAATATGGAAGTGTTTTGGCAGAAACTAGACAACTGCCTTCGCTTATGGAGATGCTATAGAGAAGAGTCCTGTAGTGAAGCGACAGCTGGACCTCTACAGCCCCTTCCATTTTTAAATTCTATGAAATTTAGGATTTGTTCCATTTTTTAAGTATCTGACTTTGCCACCTTTATACGTGTAGTAATCCAACTGATTGTAGATTTTCTTATTTTTTAGTATTTGACCAAAAGGATACCACAGAACCCAAGGTATCAGCATGTCAAGTCAAGACTGGACACTGGTGAGTAAAAATTAGAAAGTTAGAACTTTAAAAAAAAATCTAGGCTGGGCGCGGTGCCTCACGCCTGTAATCCTAGCGCTCTGGGAGGCCGAGGCGGGTGGATCGCTCGAGGTCAGGAGTTCGAGACCAGCATGAGCAAGAGCGAGACCCCCCCATCTCTACTAAATATAGAAAGAAATGATCTGGACAACTAAAAATATATATAGAGAGAGAAAAAATTAGCCGGGCATGGTGGCGCATGCCTATAGTCCCAGCTACTCGGGAGGCTGAGGCAGAAGGATTGCTTGAGCCCAGAAGTTTGAGGTTGCTGTGAGCTAGGCTGACGCCACGGCACTCACTATAGCCCAGGCAACAAAGTGAGACTCTGTCTCAAAAAATAAAAAATAAAATCTAATTATTGACTGATAATTAACAAGAAGAAGCCTGCCATACCTGGTATAAATCACAGCTTAAAGTTTGTCACTGTCTTGCCTGATGTCTTTTTGGACTCAGGATTTATCTTTGAAAGCTGTTTTTCAGATTATCAGTAAAAATTTGTACTCACATAATTTAGCTTGTTATTCCTTACCACATAAGAAATAACATAAACTGAGCGAATGAAATTCCAGAAATTGAAACCATTCTTTAATAAGTTGCAGGGCTGAAGCTAAATAAATATCAGGAGGTCAACTTCTATTTAGGAATACCTTAAATATATTCCTTTAAACTGGTAGTAATATATTATACATGTGCATGTTTGTTCAGTTCAGTGTTTGCAGAGTGCTGACTACACGCAACCTTATGGACTATGGGAGACAGAAAGATGAGTGTGAATTGTGGTTTTTCATTCAAAGAGCTTAGATTCAAGTGGAGGCAGACAGACTTGAATGAGTAACTAAAGTACCAGACAGAATTTAATTAGTGCTGCAGTACAGGTAAAATGAACTGCTTATTTCTGTGCTCTTCCCATTTTTCAGTGTCGTAGTAAAGACTGCTGCCCAGCCGATAGAAGATTTGCAGTCTTGTGTGGTTTTGGTTGTTTGCTTGTTTATTTTTGTTTTCAACCTTGTTAAAGCCTGCTGTGGAAATCCATCTGATTAAGATGGTTTTGCTAGTGGATTGGGGCACGGTGTGCCTTTAGCAATACTGAATTTTCCACCAGTAGCCTTAAGACAACTGAGAAAAGTAAACTGGGATGTTGACTTTGTTTTGATGTTGACTTTGAAATAATCTTGTTTATTTTGTGTTTCTCTTTTTCTAATCTCCTTCAAAATCATTATCTTCCATTATGCATGTTTACTCATATGAAATAGACTTAAATGTTTTATTTAAATTCACCACATTTGCAGATACTATTTCTTGGTACTCTTCTTTCAAACATTTTCATGCCATGCAGATCTTTATCCTTGCAAATATCCTGTTTGATGGGCAGGTGGAAAATATTATCTCTGTTTTAGAAAAGGAGGAAATTGTGGCACAGAGCTTTTGTGATTTATTCAGAGTTCAATAAAGCACATAGAACTAGGATTGTCTGCAGGATGAGGAAGTCAATGCTGGAGATCTGGTGCTGGGCCTGGTGTACTGTTTCTTAGGCCACACTGTCCCTGTATTTCCCCCAGCCTTATTTCTTCTACCACACATACCCTTGACTCTTCCATTTCTACCCATCTTCCCTTAATTGCAACTGTGATCCACCCTTCTGAAGTAAGGGATTCTGTGAGGTAACCACCTAGATTTAAAATGCCATATTTTTTCTGAGGAGTCAAGATATGATTTTAAAGACTCCTATAAAGGAATGAATTTCTTTGGGAACCTTTAAATCTCCTTAAAATTAAAATTTTTTAAAGCTGAGGTCTATTCCGGATATATAGATTTATCTATGCCTTCATAGTTTTTTTTTCCCCTGGAAATCGAATTGGGTTTGTGAATGACAACCCCTTTCTTTCTCTTCAGTTCCTCAATTCATAATGAAAATGTGACTCAATAATGGTGCCTGAAGTTTATTTCAATTTTTTTGATATTGAGATATTTATATCTGCTTTTTTTTTTTTTTTTTTGAGACAGGATCTTGCTCTGTTGCCCAGGCTAGGGTGCAGTGGCATCATCATAGCTCACTGTAGACATGATCTCCTGGGCTCAAGAGATCCTCCTGCCTCAACCTCCCTAGTAGCTGGGACTACAGGTGCCCACCACCACGCCCAGCTAATTTTTTAATTTTTTGTAGAGACAGGGTTTTGCTATATTGCTCAGGCTGGTCTCCAACTCCTAGGCTCAAGTGACCCTCCCACCTTGGCCCCCCAAAGTGCTGGGGTTTGACACAGGCATGAGCCACCTCACCCAGCCTTTTATCTTCTTTTTATAATATATATGTTAAATACATATAACATTTTATATCCTGAGATATGAGTTACAGTGGCCCGACCATAGCTCACTATAACCTTGACCTCCTGGGCTCAAGCAGTCCTCCCCCCTCAGTCTTCCAAAGTGCTGGGATTACTGGTTTAAACTAAAGTTTTATTTGTTGATTAAATTTTTCGTTTTGAGATCATTGTAGATTTACATGCATTTTGTAAGAATAATACTGAGAGATTCCATGTGCGCTTTACCCAGTTTTCCACAATGGTAACATCTGGCAGAACTGTAAGGCACCATCACAACCATGATTTTGACATTTATACACACAGTCAAGATCCTGAAGGTTTCCATCACCACAGCGATTCCTTACATTGCCCTTTTATAGCCACATCCACTTTCTGCTTCTACCCCTCCTTAACCCCTGGCAACCACTAATCTGTTCTCTATTTCTGTAATTTTGTCATTTCACAAATGCTATATAAATGGAATCGTACAGTATGCAGCCTTTTGGATTGGCTTTTTTCACTTAGCATAATTCTCTGGATATTCATCCAGGTTGTTGTGTGTCGTCAGTAGTTTGTTCTTTTTTATTAATGGCTAGAATTCCATGGTATGGCTGTACCTGAGGTTAACCATTTACCTGTTGAAGGACATCTGGGTTGTTTCCACTTTTTGGCTACTACAAGAAAAGGTACTATAAACATTTGTGTACATATTTTTGTGTGAACATAAGTCTTCATTTCTCTGGGATAAGTGCATAGGAGTACAACTGCTGATTATAAGGTAGTTACCTATGTGGTTTTTTAAAGAAACTGCCTGTTTTTCGGAGTGGCTGTACCACTTTACATTCCCACCAGCATTTGGTTTTGTAACCATTTTTTATTTTAGCTATACTGATAGGTGCGTGATGGCTTACCATTGCAGTTTTAATTTGCATTTCCCTGATGGCTAATGATGAACATCTTTTCATTTGCTTATTCACTTTCTGTACATCTTCTTCAGTGAAATGTCTGTTCATATTTTTTGCCTATGTTCTCATTGGATTGTTTGCTTTTTTAATGTTGAATTTTGAGAGTCCCTTATACATTCTAGCTACTAGTTGTTTGTCAGATAGGTGTTTGCAAATATATTTTCCACAGTCTGTAACTTGTCTTTTCATCCTCCTCACAGGGTCTTTCAAAGTACAAAAGTTTTTAATTTTGATGAGGTCCATTTTATCAGTTTTTCCTTTTATGGATTATGATTTTATCATCAAGTCTAAAAACTCTTTGCCTAGCCTAGATCCCAGTGATTTTTTTCTGTCATTATTCTTTCTAAAAGTTTTATAGTTTTAGGTTTTACATTTAAGTTCATGATAGCATTTTGAGGTAATTTTTATATGAGGTGTGGGACTTAGATCAAGATTAACTTTTGCTTATGGATGTCCAGTTGGTCCAGCAGCATTGGGTTAAAAGGTTACCTTTACTCCTTTGAGCTGCCTGTTCACCTTTGTCAGAAGTCAGTTGGACATGTTTATATGGGTCTGTTTCTGGGTTCTTTATTATGATCCCTTGATCCATGTCTCTGTCCCTCTGTCAATACCATACAGTCTTGATTTCTGTCACTATATAGTAAATTGGATACTCAAAATTGGTTAGACTGATTAACTACTTTATTTTTCTCTACAAACTTATTTTAACTATTCTAATTTCTTTGCCTTCCCATATAAATTTTAGAATAATCTTATTTACATTTGCCAAAAAAATGCTGTAATTTTGATAGGAGTTGCATTAAGCCTATTTATCATTTGGGGAGAATTGATAGCTTTATTATGTAGAATAACCACTAGTCTACCTTCTGTGTCTATGGACTTGCCTGTTCTAAACATTTCATATAAAGGGAATCATATAATATATAGCCTTTTGTGTCTGGCTTCTTTCACCTGGTGTAATGTTTTCAAGGTTCATCTATGTTGTAGCATGTATCACTGTTTCATTCCTTTTTATTGCCAAATAATATTCTATTATTTAGCTATTCCACATTTTGTTTGTTCACTCATCAGTTGATAGAATTTGGATTATTATACTTTCTGTCCATAGTATTGCTACAAACATCAGTGTATACATTTTGTGTGAACATGTTTTTAATTGTCTTGGGTGTATACCTAGGAGTTGAACATGGCAACTCTGTTTAATTTTTTTGAGAAACTGCCCAGCTGCTTTCCAAAGCAGCCATGCTTTATGTTCCCACCAGCAACGTAGGAGGGCTCTATTTTCTCCACATCCTCTCTAATGCTTGTTATTATCCATCATTTTGATTATAGCCATCTTTGTGGGCGTGAAGTAGTTATCTCATTGTGGCTTTGATTTGCGTGTTCCTGATGACTAATAATGTTGAGCACCTTTTTATATGCTTATTGGCATTTGCATCTCTCCTACGGAGACATATCTATTCAAATCATTTGCCAGTTTTTAAATTGGGTTATTTTTCTTCTTATTTGTTGAGTTATAAGAGTTCTTTTATAAATTCTGGATACTAGACTCTTGTCAGAAATATGATTTGCAAGTATTTTCTGCCATTCTATGGGTTGTCCAGGGTTTTTGTTTATATAGCTGGAAGAGTAGAGAAAAATACATCTACCCCATCTTCCTGGAAGCATGAGTCTTCCAAACTAGTCTTGTAAAGCTTTTAAAAGGGCCAAAATGTGTTTCATTGCTTAAAACTGAAAGTATTTTAAAGTCAGTGTGGGAGAGAAGTCTTATTCTAGTGTTCAATTTTATTGTTGTTTCAGATTTAGAAATTATTTTAAAGTCAATTTAGAGGGGAGATTTTATTTTAATGCTTGTGTTTCTATACATTTTTGTGTCTTACCTCTGTGTGTATTCAGAGGAAGTTTTTCACCTGGCGTGCAGCAGTCTGCAGATGATGTGTGAAGATACAGATCCTTTCAGCTCTTTGGATAGCCTGGAGCAGCCCAAACCCAGTGTTTTATCCAAATATTATCATTTATATGTGTGCCACGAGGAGAAAAGAGTAAGGAGTCCTGGTTAAGAAAAGACAAGAGGGACCTTATAGCCCAAGTAAGAGTAAGGAGTTCCCATCTGTGGTACGTTTTTAAGCTCCGCAGTCAGTGCAATGAAAGTAGACACAGGAATAAGTGAGCGTTTCTCATTTCTAGACTAACTAGATGGGTCTTTAATCTTTTCTTACCAAACAGTGAGCAATTCAGAGTTAATCACAAGAAATTCAAGAATTTCATGATATCTCCTGTCTTCACCCAAATCACCTTCTACTGAGTTCTTCAAAGGCTGCGATCTTCCTCCTGGATAAAGATTATTTTTTGTTTCTATACTTCTGGCTCTACTTCTCACACAAACTCAAACACTTATGTGTAGCCATGGCTAGAAATCTCAGAGTTATTTTGAACTTCAAATATTTCTTTTGTTCCATAGGTGCCTGAGTATATCTTACCAGCTCCCCACCATTGCCAGCCTGGGCCATGAATGGATTGTGCTTCTGGTGAAATCCCTGACTGCTTTTTGTTCAGTCTCCACTGCAGGGTTCTTGTGTACTCTCAAGCACCCTCTCTGAGTTTCTGTTTTGCAGCACTGCAGGCTGATTAAGGGCCACTTTCCAAACCGCAGGGCTCTCTCTTTATTAGTCTCCTACACTCTTCCGTGGGCTGCATTGTCCTTTTATTTTCAATCTGTGTTCAATCTAATTTCAGATTTCTTTAGCTTTCTGAAATGCTGTAGACTTTCTCTATTCAGTCTTTTTTAGCCTCATTTTTATTTTTTAAAAATTCACCTTCCTTTTGTTATCTCACACAAACTAGTTATTTCCTGTTTTCTTCTTTAGTCTTTACTTTTCCTGAATATTCGCTAATAACCTTGATCTTAGACACTCAGACTCATTACAGACTAGGTACTCTTCATTTTCATTTGGTTTTTAATTCTGTTTCTTACGTCAAAGGAAGAAATGTATGTGAAAGGCTTTTACAAACCAGAAAGCATTATACATACGTATAACTTATTGAGGTTAACAAAGGACCACTGTGCCTCTTTTCACGTTTTGTGCTCTTCTCAGCCAAAAGAACTTCTCCTGTAGAGGAGGGAAATATTGAAAAAAAATAAAGCTGTGGAGTTGTCTCTTAGCAACTGAGTTCGTGCCTTATAAATCATATCCTCTTTAGATTACTGCTGCTCAAATCACTCGCTTTTCTTACTGGCTCAGTACAAATAATGTTATTAAATTATAGGAAAACAATGGAAAAATCTAATGAATGAGTCACTCAGCTAATCGATTGTGCTCTATCTTTACATAGCACTATGACATAGTTAGGTTGTTTCTTTCTCTGGATTATAATTATAAAAGTTTTGTTATATATCTTTTATTGCAACTTTAATTGTAAACAAAGTAGAAGTTAAATACCACCTTATTTATTTCTAGGTTGCCTGAGTCCTGAAACAATTAGGGTCATATTGGTAGTTTACAACATATACTGTATATAAGTGAAGTTATATATATTTCAAAGAAAATCAGGTGTGCAAAAACTCAAACAAAATTAGAATGTGATTATTTGCATTATAAAATAACTCATTATAAGGATTTTTCAGATGCTAGATCTTCACAGTATATTTCATTCAGCAAATATTTTTGAGTGTCTCCTATGCTAGACAACAGAAGGGATAAAGATTGTATGTGTGTGTTTTGCGTGCATGCATGCGTAAATAATCTTGGGCTTGCCATCTAATAAGGTAGATAAGACAGTTCAATGATAAATGCCTTGTGAGTGGTAAGCTGAGTGCTATAGAAGTTCAGAGCAGAGAAAGGTCACTTCCCACTGGGTGAGCTATTATGATTACATGGAGAAGGTGATATGATGGAGAACTAAAGACTGAGAATTTGTCGAGTTTAGTAATTAAGGCAACATTGAAGAATAAATTGTTGGCATCTTTAGTGCTACAGCAAGGAGTTTAAGCTTTACTCAGTAAGCAATGGAGAGCCACTGACTTTTTTTTTCTTTTTAATCAAAGGCTTATCTAGGAAAATGTATCTGGCAGTAATGTGCAGTTTCAAATTTTTGAAAAAATTGGTTCTCTGACATTCTTTTAGGTTCTTTTTATATAAACAAAGATGTGTTTATAAATAAGTGAATTATGAAATTGATTCATTTTCAGTCTTTTTAAAACGTAGTCAAAAATATTTTCAGATGCAATTAGATACGGTAAGATAAGCAGCTTAGTTAAGGTACAAGCAGTGTACCAAGTAGGATAAAAGGCCACTTTTCATACTTTCTAAAACCATTTTTAGGGATTTTTGTGTCAGCCATCCTGCTATCTCATTTCTCCATTCTTAAAATTGAAGCAAAGCAGAAATCCTCCATTCTCATTTTCCCCCCATACTTGGATAGAATGAATGTGTATAATGAAAAGAGATTCTTATCAATAGCCCTCTCAGATTTGTTCTGAATTTTGCCAGATATTTGTATAATTCTGCAAAACACTTTGTTTCTCTGCTTTCTCCTTTAGTGGGAAAAACGAACAGTAGGTGTGGCAGCTTACCCCCTAGTGTTGTGAGGGTGGGCTGATACAGATGAAGTGCTGTGTAAATACTGGGAAATGTTGAGAATTAAAAGAGAAATTAACTTTAGACACTTTGTTAACAGAAACCACTGTGGTTTGGAAATGCAATGTTTCAATAATAAAGACTATATAAATAAGGTTGGCTATTGTTTTCCATGCATCATGTTTTCCATTCTTCAGGGAATTTACAGCATGAGATGGTCCCCACCTGTTACTATTAAGGGGGTAGCACTTTCTACAAATTGACCTCATGATGAGTCGTGTTTTTAAAACAACACAACTGCAAAAGCCGTGTGTTTTTGTGAGCCGTATTAGAAACCAGGTTAGGAATGCAAATCCTGGCTTAGTCACTAACTTGCTGGGTTACTGGGCAAATCAGTCATCCTTTTTGTCCCTCAATTTTCTGACTAGACTGCCTGAAGCTTTCCTAGCCAAAAGAAACTGCCACCACATCAACAACATGCAACCATGGGGGACGCAGGACATATAACCAAGGGCTGCTATGTAAAATATTTTAAGAATGAGACTGTGGGAAGCTGAACAGCGTACTGATTTGCCGTCTTCCCCTATTGTATTAACCAGGCAAGTCCACGCCTGAGTTCAGAGTTGCAGTGGGGAGGAGGGATGTGTGTCCAGGAAGAATCCCTGCTTTCTGCTCTGAAGATCTGGTCACATCTCAGGTCATTTGCAGTCTGAAGAACCTAGAAAAGATGGTACTTGGTTCTAATCCTGTTCTTTGGTGATGTTTGGGCCCTTCTGAGACATACTCAGTGTTTCTGTTGAGAAGACTCAGGCCTTCTGAGTAGCCCTGAATGCCTTCATTTTTCTCTGAGCTTCTGAAACAACACAGTCTGGGTCTAGGACTACACTGAATCCTCCTTTGTGGTCCTTGATATAGAAAGTGTGTGTCTTAAGATGGGGAAAGAAAACAACAGTGGATTTTTACTACATGATGAATTCATGGTAAAGATTTAGTAATAACAAATGAAGTAAGTTGTTTTTTGAAAATGTATTTTGTGTTTCAGAGCAAGGATTTTCTTCCTCTACTTCTGACCCAAACGTGAAGTTCAGAATAGTCGTTGAAAATGTCAATTCATGCCATTAATTAGAAGCATTTCTTTTATCTGAAATTGAGGCTAAATCTAACTAGATTCTCTCGAGGCTTAAAAAGTTAGGAACACAATTTTAGAAATGAGAAATTATTTTGAATGTTTTCCCTTTGCTATACCTTTTAGGTGCCAGATAGAGCTTGCTGTGTTGAATTGAATCGAATCATAGCACGCCCAGTGAAAAATAATAGCCCCTGGCTTGAGAGCCGAATGTAGTTCATTCGGAAACCAGAATGATCCTGGCCCAGTTTTAAAGTATGAAAACCTCCAAACCTAGTATTGGCTAGTACCTAGTATTGTAGAATCAGGCTATAAAACATGAGGGCTCAGAACATTCCACAGTGGTAGGAATCTGCTGCTATTTCTCAGCAGATCAATCCCATGGTGAATACTAGTGTATGGAGTGTGTGGTCTAGTTCAGGCCGCAACAGGAGCGTGAATAGTAGAAGACCAAGTGCGGGGAAGAGGAGGAAACCACAAAGACAAAGCAGAGAGGAAAGGGTTACTTGAGTAGCCACAAAGGCACATTTAGACATTCAAAGAATGTTGCTTCTTTCTTGCTCCTCTTCTATCTTCCAACCAAAAGATTATGGGGGGAGTTAAAGGAAGAGGAAAGCCTTGACTCAAAAGAAGAAAAAGAAATTGACATAAACCGATCATCTTTATTGTCTGGGAGTTCTTAAACACATTTGATCAAACATCTTCCTTGGTACCTTATCTTTTAATAATGCTGTATTATCCAAAAGACCATTTACTCTGTGTGGCTCATTTGCCTACTGTCCAGAATCCCAAAAGAACAGGATAGGAAAGCTTAGGGAATACTTTTTCTCCATTCTGTTTTCACAGTGGTACTCATTTTCTTCCATTTAAAGCATATCTAAAATCCTCATTTTCTTTTTAGGTAACAGTATGACTAAATACACTGAGAGGCTAGAAGAGATCAAAAAAAGTGAGTATGGTTTGGGAAAATGGGACTTGATAGTTGTCCTATAAGTTGGTTATTCACTAACAACCATGTTCTATGGCTGACACGTGTGGAGAGCTGTAGGAGTCAGGTGAGCCTGGCAGGTGCCTTGAAGGATATGGGAGACAGTGCGTACCATCCCTTAGGTCAGCTCCTAAGAATATGGCCTGTGGGACTGAATTCTGCCCAACTTACATCCCCGAAGGGGTATTAATATTGGAATGTGGAATGAGCTCTAGTTAAACCTGTAGTTTCATTGTATTACAGTCTTCATGGCCTTCCTCAAGCTATTTAATGTTTTCTATTTTCTTATTTTGTCTATACTTGAGATGGGGGGTAACAATATCTCTCTTCATAACATTCTTGTGCGTATAAATTAGAGTATTCATGAAAGACTTAGAGGTATAGGAAAGAAAGAGCTTATTCTTAATGTTATGCATTATCAATTCATTGCAGTCTGTTTTCTTTTAATTAATCATATTTCATCCACATCCTTTTTAAAAAACTAATCTTCTGCAAAGATACATTACTAGTCATTGAGTGTGTTGCTCTTGCACAACATCATAATTTTTCAATCTGTATCCAAAACTGATGTAAAATGTATACTTCAAGGCCAGAATTAAAGAAGAGGTAGAAACATCTATTTTGGAAAATGGTTTGCTCATAGCTTAAGTAAAAGAAGGGGAGTATTTAGCTAATGGTGCTAAAGAGGTACTCTGATTGATCACAGTTCAGGACTTGGCTCTGGTAAAATACATCTTCCTGGAAGAGAAAATTACAAATCCAGAATACACCAGAACATTTTCTTTTTGCACAGCAGACCTTTTAATCTAAAGTGAAAATGTTCCTTTTAAATTACTGCAGTATTTGGAAGCCTCAGACAATAGGCTTGGCCTCGGGCTTTATGCTGTTTTTATTTGCCATGTTTGGCTGGACGGGTTAGGCTATAGACATTTAAAAAAAATATGTAATATCACAGCATCCTTCTCTTTTCTTCTATACATTTCACCTTATCATATAAGTATATATTTTTAAAATATATATTAAATTTTGAACTGTGAAAAAAATCTTGTTTACTTACCTACACTTCGTTGTTGTCATTCTTACCTCCTCCAAGGCAGGCAAACTCCAGCTGGCCTGCTCTGTCTGAATTCATGGTCACTTTCACCTCCCATCCGTCTGCAGCTGAGTATGGGCTCACATGTCCTCACTAGAAATTTGTCCCATAAAAGTGTCGCATTCTGCCCACATTGGCAAAACCTTGTTTAAAACATTTCTTAAAAGTACAATGTGGTTTCTTTAACATCTAAACCTTAAATGGAGATTATCTACCAAAAGAAATACCCTTGGAATAGAGAGCCCTGAAAATGCTCCATCACCGTCCCTCCTTAAGAGCAGCGGGCTCCCTTTTAGTAAGGCAAGAGGTTCCTGCCACCCTGTTTCAT